TCTAAAAGACAAACTCAAAGCTTCTTCCTTTGGAGCTTCTTCCATGTGGGGAGTCTCACTCTTAGGTGGAGACGACAAAGCTGACGTCATCCTCCTCAAGTTCCTTCGAGCTAGGGATTTCAAAGTTACGGAATCGTTGAGGATGCTTGAGAAGTGTTTGGAGTGGAGAGAAGAGTTCAAAGCAGAGAAACTGACGGAAGAAGATCTGGGTTTCGAAGATTTGGAAGGTAAAGTTGCTTACATGAGAGGTTACGACAAAGAAGGACATCCTGTGTGTTACAATGCGTACGGTGTGTTCAAAGAGAGAGACATGTACGAGAGTGTGTTTGGTGATGAAGAGAAACTCAACAAGTTTCTGAGATGGAGAGTTCAGGTTCTTGAAAAAGGTGTAAAGATGCTTCATTTCAAACCTGGTGGTGTTAATTCCATTATTCAAGTTACGGATCTTAAAGATATGCCCAAGAGAGAGCTTAGAGTTGCTTCTAATCAGATTCTCTCTCTGTTTCAAGATAATTACCCTGAGATGGTTGCTACTAAGGTAAATGGGTTTCTGTTTCTTCCTGGAAGATAAAACTTGAATGCTTTCTGTACTTTTTGTCTGAAATTGTTAAGGTTTTTTCATGTGCTTTTGCTCTGTTTTGCGTGTTGGGTTGCTTGTTGATACATACACTCTTTACATTTAACAGAAAGGAATCTCATTTCAAGAAAATCTGAAACATCTTAATTGCTTTGTAAATTATCTGATTGGGAATCTAACTTTCTTGATTTTTTTTTTTNTTNTTNTTGATATGATTTTTTGCTATCTGAAATTTTGTTGGTTAATTTTGTGTTTGTAGTCTTTTAGTTTCCGTTCAAATTTTCAAAATTGGTAGCAGAAGAATATGAATGGTTTTTAGATGTTTCTGTGTTGGCAGTATCCTCTGTCTCGTCAATTTCGATTCTCTTTCTTTGTTTTACTATCTGTAATATTACTTCCTAGCTTCTGTCTTCTACTACTTGAGTTAAATTGAAGTACTCGTTGTGTAGCCGTACCTTGAAGTTATTGCATAAGATTTGAGACAAAACCAATATTTTAGTATCTATAAGGTACAAACTCATTTTAAGTTTTTTGATGAATCAATCTTTTGCAGATATTCATCAACGTGCCTTGGTATTTCAGTGTCATCTACTCAATGTTTAGTCCGTTCTTGACTCAGAGAACAAAGAGCAAGTTTGTAATGTCCAAAGAAGGAAATGCAGCCGAAACACTCTACAAGTATAACTAAAAACTCTTTACATTGTATTTTCTTTAGTTCTAATTTACCATTTTTGTTTAAAAATGCTAACATTTTGCTAAATTCAGGTTCATTAGGCCAGAAGATATTCCGGTGCAATATGGTGGCCTTAGCCGTCCTACTGATTCGCAAAACGGACCGCCTAAACCAGCGTCTGAATTCTCCATCAAGGGCGGTGAGAAAGTTAACATTCAGATCGAAGGCATCGAGGTAATATTAATAAGCATTAAACCAAGTGAGTAAGAAAATGATTTTGATGAATTCCGAAATGTGTGTGTGGATTATAACATTACAGGGTGGAGCTACCATAACATGGGATATAGTAGTTGGAGGATGGGATTTAGAGTACAGTGCAGAGTTTGTTCCAAATGCTGAAGAGAGTTACGCTATAATTGTCGAGAAACCGAGGAAGATGAAAGCTTCAGACGAAGCTGTTTGCAACTCTTTCACGACAGTAGAAGCTGGGAAACTCATTCTCTCTGTCGATAACACTTTGTCCCGCAAGAAGAAAGTCGCTGCTTATCGTTACACTGTCCGAAAATCTACTACAGTCGTCTAAAAAACCGATTTTTGTTTTCAGAAGATCGGTTTCTTTCTTACTACTTTTTTGGATGTGTTGAGGATTTTCTTTGTTGGGTTTGGGTACTAGGTTTGTTTTGTTTGCTCAACGGTCATGTTGAACCGAATATCTAAGAAATGCGAGGAGATATGTATAAAAACAATGATTGTATGACATTCAATGTTTGGCTTAATGTTTAACTATAGATTGAAAAGTAGCAATCCAAAAACCATATATGCTTGTTTTGGAAAAATCATTAGACATCTGAAGACCAATGCTTATGTTTTGCTACATACATTTTGAGAACAAACCAACTATATATATAGTTTGTCTTCGCTGCATTCTCAGTGACAGTATTGGGTTTGTTTTTCTTCATAAGCTGAACTACAAACATGAAATTTTAGAAGAAATGTTTGTATCTTTAACAGGCAAAATAAGCACCAAAACTTGAAGAATCATCAATCATTACCTCTATTCTGTGTCTACCAGATTCTGTAAAAGTCAATTTTTGAAATCAGAAACAAGATGTCAAAAACCCAACGGAGAAAGGCCCAAAGAAAACAAACTAATAGTCCAAACCAAAACTGAAAAAAAAAATAACATAAGAGAGCCCAACGCGTAGAAACAGATATAATTCATTTACCGAATGAAGAAAAGATCCGCACATTTATTTTCGAAAAAACAAAATTTAAGTATTTGTAAAACGTTTTGACAAAAAAAGAAAAGTAATTTATTCATGTGTATGCTTATTTCCTCTTGCATTTGTTTCATTTTCACTTTATAGATGAGTCTTTTTCTTGTGTGCAAGTGTTTTGGAACTTTTATATCTTTAGATGTCTTTTTGTTGTCTTAGGGTAGTTCGTACTTGTTTAATTTTCGCGAGTTTTACCATGTTTCAAACTACGTTAATGTAAGAAAGGAACCTAAGGAATTCAGGACAATCGAAAATGGTGTGAAAATAACGTTATGCCCGAGCATGAAGTCATCGGTCAAGCATCTCCTTGGTGATTGGTTAGTCATGCATCCATCTCTTGACTAATTTCGAGCAAAGTTGTTCTCAAGTAACCGGCTATCCGCTGAATAAGTGATAGATCGATCACCATGCAGTCAAGCCTTATTGATCACCTAAGTTCAAAGCCATCTTAGGTCATCGGTCACTACCCTCTTCATCGATCAAAGATGTATACACAAGATGATCGAGTAGGATCGATTGTTCACCTAAGTTTACAAAACTATTCTTGTCAGCTCCAATGGCTCTCAGTCCGAATGTTTTCACTATTGACCTACTTTTACATGAGAAAAACCAATTCCTACTCGCTTTTTATGTATTTACTAATTTATCCTTTTTTGTTAAAGATTTTTTTCCTGGTTACTTTATTTAGTAATTTATCTTAGAAACGCATCAAAAGCATTGAAATGAAATATATCTTCATTTTCCCCACAACGTTTGCATTCTGATAAATATATTTTCTATTATTATGTTTTTCAGTATCTTCGGAAAATTGAACTTTATAAAAGTGAATAATTGACCATATAGTCAAATGTAGCTATCGAAGAAAGCGAATCGTCGGTTTCAGTGGTTGCTACACAATTTTATAAGTATCAATTTCCTCTTCGGTTGTTTTTTTTTTAATAAAGAACACAGTATAATGTATAGCTGTGCGTTTGACCATTTGGAACCAATCTTCAATTCGTGATTTTCTTATAATTTATTTTCAATCTGATTTAATGATTCAACAATAACGCCATAATCAAATTTTGAATTTTAGTATTTTAGTTGATATCATATGTGTTACAACCCAATACACCCTTGCATTCATTAAATCACTAACATCGAACATTTAACTTCGATTATT